AAAAAAAAAAAAAAAAAAAAAAAAAAAAACCAACAACAACAACACTCAAACAAAAGTTAGAAGAATAGTCAACTACGACATACATCACAATTGAGAATATTTTCCCTTTCCCGAGCAACATCAGTATTTGTCACACCTGCAAAATATACTAAGTTATGAGCAAAGACAGGCAATTTACATGTGTGTCAACTAAATTTACATAATCACTCGAGGAGAATTCATAAACAAAATTTGTAAAAGAACTGGAATAGCAACTTTCCCAGGCTGCAATGAAGAAAATGGAAACACTTCATTTATTACGCGCACGCGTAATTCAGAAGTATCTGCTCAGTCAACTCCCAAAACCATTTACAAATCACAAATAATAATTGCTCAGCCATTTAAGTTATTGCTGAGTATTGTGAATAGAGAATATTTAAAACTGCTTGATTTTAGGATAATACCAAAGTTGCGAGATATATCGTCCATGCCCGTGGCTTTTTCTGGGATCTTCTCATTCAAACACATGACATTATCTACTAAAACATGCCCATCTTGAGATTCTACAAGCAGACGCTCAACATCGATAGACCCATCTTCAAATCCAATTGTTGGAGGCTCATCCTCCATGACCTGATAAATATTTTTTTTTTCATTTTAGGAGAAGTATTCCACTTAAGCTCTAGCAATTAAGATAATTCAATAGGAAAGAATATGTAATACAAATACCATAAAATGGATGAACCCCGAAAGATTGTTCAGTATCTAATATAATAACTTCATCAATTTGCACAAGCCCGGTTTGCATTGTTGACATTCTATAAGCCACATTACACAATAATGGAGTAAAAGAGGCCCAAATTCCAACACGCCAAAAAATGATTAGATATTACTAAACTGACAATAATGTAAAGGGTGGAACACTATTTTAGTACCGTATTAACATCTATATGGACTTATGAAGATTGTACAAACTAGTAAAAGAATACCTAACAAGAAAATTCACAATAGCTCTGAAATTAACTCCCTCAACAATGTTCATCAACCCGAATGATCCTCCACACGACAAATGACTGCAAGTGCTCGTAAATTCAATTTTGGGAAGATGACTAACACACAAAATAAACGTAAACTGAACCAACTCACACCCAACAAGGGCCGAAAAACAAAAATTTCACCATAAATTGTTATCCAGAAAAAAAGCTTATGAAACACAACAAGGTCAACGTTTTACAACAAAGTAATCTTTTTTCAACAGTAATCATTCAGCCTAAAATCGAGCACACGTCACATCTTCATTAGACCAAAACCCAATATTTTCTCCCTGAAATATCTCCAATTTGTCGGATGCCTGTGCTTTTCAATACCTTTTTCCCCGTAAGACGACGATGCAAAATGATTACTTGATATTAATTACACAATCTAATTGTAATGCACTCGGCATGCGCAATATTATACATTAGAACAATAATCGTCAACAAGTGACACAATTATCAAGCTCTTAACTTTTCTTTCAACGAGAATTTTAACACAAACGTACACGCACAGGATAAAAAAAAAAAACAAAAATAAACCAAAAATAAAGAAAAGTAGACAAAATACAAAAATGAGGAAGATAAGAAGAATGAACCAATTGCAGAAATTGAAAGCTAAAATAATTAGCCTAAAAGGTAAAAAGGTGCAATTTTATGGACATGAAATAGCTAACCTAAAACTTCCTGTTCGCGTGAGCTTATCTCCGGTATCGGCGTGACCGCGTGAGAGAGGAGAGAAGAAGGGAGTAAACTGTACAGTGACAAAATCTATAGACGGAATCGAAGGAGGTTTTACAAAGTTGTAATGGAATACGAGGTTTGGCGTCCGCCGTTTATTATTTGCCACTGTGACAGCGACACCGTGTTGTGGGGCTTTTCCATTATTTTATTTATTTAGTATATTTAAAGAAAAAAGGAAATGATTTATAATTTGTGGCTGGTCTATGTATGGTCAACCAACAGTCAACCTCCTTAGATTATCAAATAAAGTTTTAGTACAGAATGTTGCTTAAGAAAAAAAAAAAAACTCTGAAAATGACTTGTGCAGATTATTTTTAGACCGAGTATGACCAGCAACAATAAGAACCGTTCCTCAATTTGAGCTCCGATCCGGCAAAAATAGTTTAGGGAAGAGTCGAGATAGAAGATCTCCGAAGCAAGTTAGATATCGCTCGTGAACTGGAACTGAGATGTGAATATAAATTGAACGTTACAACTTTCTTTTATAAGAAGGTTGTCTTCTTATCCACGTAACCTTCATTATTGGGAGAGAGAACTCTCCATATCTCATTTTTTTAGTATGACACGTCTCTGATACCTTTTATTTCTTAATGAGATATATTTACGATCCTATTAGGATATGTTTCCTTAACGAGATATATTTATTCCAGACCTGTTGACCCGAGCTGACCACTCTAACCGGTTCGTCGAGCTATTATGGGTTTTACATCTACTCGTACAAGATAAGAACTTGTAACATTTTGGCTTTTGAATTTGAAATATAAATACAACTTGACTTTTAGTTGTAGCATCTCAAGTTTTGTAATTAGTGGGTTGATTAATGACAAAATTGCATTTGACATCATGACCTTTTTCGACTTTTGTACTCATGTCACGACTTGTGGAACTTGGCACTTCAATACATAACCTTTTTTTTTTCAAAATGAACCATTGACCCGGTCTCCAATGAAACGATGCCAACCTTTCCGGCAATTTTATCGATGTGGTATACGTTTCTCATGAAAAATGACCAAGCCATATCGGACGACGTCGTTTCAATTTCAATAAATCCCAAATTCACAAATCAATCCCTAAACCTAAATTCCTCTCTTCAAATCTACAAATCATCGACCAACAAAAATTTCTCTCTTAAAATTCCTTAATTCCCTTTGCTTAAAGAAATTTTCGAAGAACTCCTAAAATTCTTAGCATTAGTCACCCTTTTCAGTTGTTGAGGCGGTCTGTTGAAACTGATATCTCCCATTGCATTGAAGATGGCGAATAGGTATGAATTGTGGTCCTACTATTTTCTTCTTTTGTTTTTTTTCCCTCAATATCAGTGCATTATGTATTATTTATTTCATAATCAATAGATTAGGGTTCATTTATATGTGGGGTATGCGGAGGACACAATTCTTATTCCTGAGAGAAATCGTGTTATTAGACAACCTTTATATATCTTTGTCAATCATGGTGGACAATTTGTTATGATGAATAATGTGATGGAGTATTTTGGAGGGGAAGTTCAATCCAGGCATGCTATTGATCTTGATAGGTTTGGTTATTTGGATTTAGTAGATGAAATTGAAAAACTTTGTTACATTGAGGTTGGCAAAATGTATTACAAGATGCATGGGGAAATGGAGTCGGCTAAGTTTATTGATAGGTAAAAAGATGTGCACGTTTTATATATTTAATAGTGTATTTTTATACGATTAATTTATTCGCACATTTATAATTTTTTTGACTTATTTATTATTTAGATGAATTCGTTTGCTTTGATTATTTACGTTTTAATTTCAGTATTTTGTGGACGTGAAGCAATTGATGAAAGAGCCCACTTGAGACCCAACTGGCCTAATATCTTTAGGCCCAATTAAGAAATCTCAATGTGCTAAGCCTGGGAGTGAATTTGGCAGCTAAATTGATTTTCAAGAAAAAAAGAAAGCAAGCATCACATTAATTCAAGAAATGGATCTTACTTGGAGTCTTACGGGGAAAAGACGAAACTGATAGCAAGCATTATATTGGTGGACTTTGGAGTCTTTGAGGGGGATTATTAATTTTGACAGAAGAGAATTATATATGGGACTGAATTTACGAAGCCGCGGATAGAATAGAAAAAGAAAACCCGCAGATAAAAAACGAAGACAGAGAAGAACTCACGCACGGACTGAAGGAGAGAAGACTACACGCGTGGAGAGAAACCGCATCCCGCACACGAGGGAGATTACTAATCTCTCTCTTTTATCTTTTATTATTTATTTTTACTAGTATGTTAGGCTAGTATTTTTATCCAGTTTGAGGGGATGTTTGAACCCTAACTTTGATTTGTGTATGGATTGAAGAATTTATTTTTATCGTTGGTCAATTAAGACGCCTTATTTATTTTGTCGATGAGTTGATTCATATTATCTGTGTATCGTGTTTATGAATTATGGTGTTTGATTTGGTTTGGCCAACTACGTTAAATATTCATAGTTTAAATATTCGAGGCTTTAATCCGTAATTGTTATTATTCTCATTTCGTTAGTAGTAAACTAGGGGTAGTTCATCTCTAGGGTAGCGTGAACATAAGTTAAACGATCCGAGCTTTTGCGTCCGTTGCTTAGACTGATCTATTTTCCTAAGAATTAATGCTGCTAGTGAATTAAATCTAGAGAGCTTATTCTAGGTTGTCCACTAGTTAGGTTTAGTCGAAGAGCTTATTTCGATCAAATATTCAGTAAGGGAAAATTCGGTTAACAGAGCTTGTTGTTAGCTAGGGTCGGTAATTCATTAGCAATTTAAAGAAGGTGTCGAAATTAACTAACGGTAGATTGAGATTTGGTGATAACTGAACCGAAAACTGGACTTCTCTTATTTTATTTGATTTTTATTTTATTATTTTTATTTTTATTTTTATTTTTATAAAATCAATCCCCCCATTTTTATTGCTTTCTTAGTTTAGTTCAATTAATACGAAATTATCACGATTTAATTCATGCTCCTCGTGGGATCGACCCTTACTCGCTACTACTACTAGCTAGTAGAGGTTAGTCGAGGAAACTTTATAAATTTAAATTTGTCGTGTCGCGACGCGCGGTCATTTATACATATCCAAATGACGCTAGTTTAATGGATGTGATTGGGAGTTTGAAATCCAAGGAATTTTATGTTCATATTTTTAGGTATAGTGAGAAAAATCGGAAGAATGAGGACTTTGTGTCAATGAGGGAGGAGGTGATGTTGGTGGAAATCTCTTAGAAAAAGAAGTCAATAAGGTTCAACATGATGTAAATACTTGTGATGATGATGATGATTATAACCCATTAGATTGCAGTTTTACTGACGATGGATTCTATGAGGCTGGCTTGGGAACTGATGAGGAAGAGTACTTTCTAGCAAGGAAAACAAGGTTCTTTGGTGCTAAAGACATGAACAACAATAACCAAGATAACTCTTAGAGTGATACAGAGTTTGTAGCACCCATCAATGAAGTACATAACTACTGAAGTTGGAAATTTGTTTCCTTCTTAACAATAGAGTGGATTAACTCCTCCAATTTAGCATGTTTCACTTTCAGCTCCAACATCTCTCTCGTCATCGTGTCCAATCTTGAGACTATCACTTTAGCTCCTCTTCTTTGCATTTCAACTCATCTCCCAAAATTTTCTTTTTAATCTTCAACTTCAGAAAAGCAACATTTTGAAATGTTGGAATCTCATGATCAAATCATAAAAAGAAACTACAATCATCATACTACAATAGAAGAAAATAATCCAAAGATTTTTTTTAACTTTTTTTTTAAAAAAACTTAAAAAATAAATAATTAGGGTAAAACTATTGGACAAAAGAAAGCTTTTACATTAGCATCAATTATAATTATCCACTCCAAAGGATTACGTTTTGAATTCGACAATAGTAGTATCTCCGATTCGGATTCCTTTCAGTGTGTGAGGTCAAAACATCGTCGTCTATTCTATAATAACAATGAAGTTATGTGTTGGTTGCACTCCCTTTCGACTTTCGAAGGTCCACTGTTCATCGAGCTGCTCGCTATGTGTACAGAGATGAATTTCGGTCAAGATTGCAGGGATATTTGGGATTTGAAGAGAAAATTTCCGGTCGGTCGTCAAGGGTTATGGGTTTTGAAGAGAGTAATTAGGGATTTAGATTTTTGATTTTGAAAAGATTAATTTAGATTTTGGAATTTAATCAAACACCATCGTCCAATTTGACTTGATCATTTTGCAACATAAACGTATACCACACCAGCGCCACGTCAATTAAATTGTCAAATAGGTTGGCATCGGTTCAATAGAGAANATGGAGAATATTGAATAGTGGATTTGATAATAATAAAAAAAAAACCTAGGTAGATGATTGGCTTAGTTGATTAGATATTAGTTAGATTAGGTGGTAATATTTGATAAATAATTAATTTGATATGTAAATAACTAAATTTGCAAATTGCAAGGCTTTTTAATAAAAAAGTTATTTCAACTTCTTCTTAGTCAAGACCATTCGTCAATTGAGTGGCATATTAGCATTCGACATGTGCATAGAGAGGCAAATTTTGTGGTCGATCATTTGGCGAGCTTAGCCGCTTCTTGTCCGATTGGCTTCATGTGTTGGCTACTTCTCCCCCTAGTTTGGGAGATTGGCTCGTGCATGATGTAATCGGAGTTTCTTATCCTCGCCGAGTTCTAGTCTAACATTTAGGCCTACGGCCTCCTTCTTTGTACCAAAAAAAAAAAAAAATAGAAAGATGTTCTAGCAAGTCCAACTTCTAATTTACCATCAAACTTTAAGTGACACCAAAACACTGTCGTGTTTGTTTATAAATAATCTCAAATCATACTCATTTCATACTCAAGTCTAACTCAACTCCATTATCCTCAATATTATCAATATAATTAAATAATATCAACGAATAATTATTAAACATCACAACAATTTTAATTCATTGTTCATCCGCTCACATAATTTTAATTAATTATCACTTCAAATCATCTCTCTCATACTTTTACATCAAATCAACTTAAATTATTTTATGTTAAATATTATTTAAATATAAACTCATATATTTATATTTATATTTATATTTATATTTAAATAATTGTTATTATTTAAATATAAACTCAAAATCTCAATAATAACTAATCATACTACTTTTTCAAAATTAACTCTTAATAACATAAAAAAACCGTTTTGAGTACATACCCCAAATAATGTTTGACATATATGCGTATTATTGTATACTTAAAATTTACTTTTCGTATTATTGTATACTTAAAAGGGTAAAATAATAACTTGCAACCTGTACTATACGCGAATTTGGGATTTGCAACCTAAGGAATTTTTTGTACTAAATCGCAACCTTTAATACACGATTTGTCTATATCGCAACATCCGGCCATCGGCGGCCCATTTTTCACCAGAAAAACGAGCGTGCGACACACATGTACCAAATTTGAGGGCAAAAATATCATTTCATCCCTCTTCCTCCTTCCTCTTTCATCCTCTCTCTCTCTCACACGCTCTCACACAAAATCAAATCAAAAATTGAATTCCACGGCGAGATAAAATGATTCAAATAAAAAATTGAATCACACACAGTCAAATCAAAAATTGAATTCCTCTTTAATACACGGTGGAGCCGGCCGTGAAGTCGCCGAATCGGACCAGGCTGACGTAAAATGATATCCCGATGACGGAGGATGGCGGGAAGAACGGAGGCAGCTGGAGGATGGTGAAGTTCTTCTCCTTTGACAGGGCGATGGAGGTTGCGTTCAAGAAAGCGTCGCCGTAGAGAGTGATGCTGCTGGAAGGAAAAATGGGGGCTGCGAGGAAAAAGATGAACAGAGCAAAGAGAAATTTCGAACACATCTTGAAATTTCGATTGCTTTCTTCTTCATATCTGAGGCAATAATTTCGACAAATGATGAACAGAGCAAAGAGAAATTTCAAATTAAAATTTTGATTTCTTCTTCAAATCTGAGGCAATAATTTCGACAAATGATGAACAGAGCAAAGAGAGATTTCGAACACATCTTGAAATTTCAAATGCTTTCTTCTTCATATCTGAGGCAATAATATCGATAAATCCGTCCAGATTGAAGTCAAATTTGACTGCTGAGACTCCGTCGGGGACAAAATAGGGCTCCTTTTACCAGGCACTGCGGCGGATGGCGGCTCCTGCAGTTCTCTTGAATTTGACGTGAGAGGTAGGATGATAGAAGAAGGATGAAGAGAGATGAAATGACATTTTTGCCCTCAAATTTGGCACACGTGTGTCGCACGCTTGCTTTTCCGGTGAAAAATGAACCTCCAATGACCGGAAGTTGCGATATAGACAAATCGTGTATTAAAAGTTGTAATTTAGTCCAAAAAATTCTTTAGGTTGCAAACCCTAAATTCGTGTATAGTACATGTTACAAATTATTATTTACCCTACTTAAAATTTACTTTTTCCCTTAGCTACTTGTGTGATTTTTCAGCTTTCGTATAAAAGCTTCCCTCCCCTTTACAACTAGGTTGCGCGTGTGAAAAGCCATGTGCAGCGGTGCTTGTTCATATTCTCTTTCGAATTATTCATTTTGCAATAGTAATAGCAACAGTAACACATACTCGTTCCTCTATACTTTCTTATCCCCTATAAAGAATAATAAAAAGAAAAAATATGTAATTCAAGAAAAGAAGATAAATTATTTACATCCGTTCAGAATAGAAAGCTTGTGTGTTGATGGGCTAATTCAATCCTACCTACCCACACCAGGTTTCGAGCTGTCGGATCATAATCACACTCACACATTAATGCAGTGTGGGCACAGTTCTGTTGAAAATAAACAAAATAAAAGTCCAACAAAAGTTTTTATGTGCTAACATAACTAAATTCAAGGTGAGTCTGTGTTTACATCTAGTCATCAGCTAAAATAACTAAGCCTCAGTCCCTTTTTTTTCCCTTTTCTTTTTGAATTTTCTTTTATACACTCACAGATGAACACAAAAACAAAGAGAACAGGTAAGGGAAAAACTCACGGCTTCCCAAATTTAACCAAACAAAAGTAAGCTAAAAACCTACAGAATACACCACTGGCTATAAGGTAAAGTAGACAGTAATTCCAACGATGAACATCATAACCGAGATCGTTCAACACAGCACACCGAGTTATCAACCACACTCCCGAGTATCTGAAAGAGACGTAAAAATTAAAAGGGAACATTATAATTGCATTTTCATGAAATTAAATTGGAAAAAAAAAAGGCATATATCTGATGATGAAAGATTTCTGGTGCCGTGGTGTTGCAATTTTAGAGTAAATCTCAAGGGTATCTTTTTGTGATGAGCCATTTTTATTTTAAACAGCAGTTTTTTACAGCAATCGAGATTAAAAAATGGCACGGACCTTTGAGCATTTGCTATCATAAACGCCTCCAGGGCCCACCTCGGATAAGTATATATACCTATTGTCTTCCCGATTTTGTCATCTTTACCTTGATTTGCCATCAGTGTAAGAACAACAGGAAGAAGCACACACCACTGTCGTTTAAAATAAAAATAAAAAAGAGCCATCAGCATCACACGCAAAACAAAACATAAAAAAACAGACGTGTGAATATTCTATTAAATGAGTTTTTGAGGGCACATACCAGCTGGGCTTGACTGGGCTGAAGAAAGATAGCAAAAACATAAGCTATGCCAGTAACACAATAGACGAGGCAGAGCAAAACAACGTAATTTTCCGGGAAAGTCGATCTCGGGTTGCTGAAAGAATAGAACATGGAGAGGAAAACCAGAGGCTTGATAAGGGTATTGAAATGGTCGACAGTGTCCTTAGAGAGGAAATAGGCCAGGCTGCTCATGCCACTTTCACTCTCTCTCCTGAAGTGCAATTTGTCCAGTGAAAACGATCTCAAGGCCGAAATCTTACATAACAGTGCTGCAAACCAGAAGTTAACATTAGGGAACAATAAAGTTGTATTTTCAAAGTTTCTTTTTGGGTCTGGACCAAAATAAGTCCGTGGAAGTCATCTGTCTGAGCATAAATATTTACGGCGAAAAGCAGGTTATACGTAAGAGAAGTAATCAACTTACAGACTGCAATGACTGTATACATATATCCATAATAGCCAAAGGTGTCGCCTTTCACTTTGGAAAGAGTTCCTAAGCATGCTCCAGCGAGTAAAAGTATCAGATAATCTGCTGCTTGAATCTGGGCTTCTCGTAGCCGTTGCTTGCTATTTCTGAAGAAATTTCACATTAAACCACTAAATAAATTACTCGAAACTTATTTTTTTCCATATGCAGAAACTGAAAATGTGAATCACATACCTTCCGAGGAAATATCTGTACTGCCGGATCAAACCAGGCGTATTTCTCCCAGATAAGTCGTAGGGCTTGAAAAAACTCTGCTGTGAAATCTCCTCGCCATCATTCCACGAGCCTCCAGCAGAAGAAGGT